GTAATTAATGCTAAAACAACTTTCACATGTGCTGTTTCACTTTGTCCTGTTAAAGACAGGCTAGATATAATTCTACCCATATTGTTAATAAAGAACCAGAGAGGTAAAGTATTCACTCCAATGCCAAGCCTGACAGCCCAGGCCTGGTGATGTTCAGTACAGGTTTTTAAATATTTTTAAGTAAACCCTGCTGCCTCCTCTGTTTCCTCTCCATGGTAATGACAGTCTCTCTCCTCCCCTCTCCTCTTCTGTGTTTCACCTAATATATTCATTTCTTTTGTTTGATATTTTTTTTCCTTTCTTCCTCTGGCTCTCTGGCCCTTTCTCTTTCCCTTCTTCCCTTTCCCCCTTCTTTCTTCTTAGGCCCTCACAATGCCCTCAATACATTCAGTACCCTGTTCGTTGCTAGGGGAGGAGGGGGAAAGCTTTCATTTGCTCAACTTTCCTGAAATGTTCTCTTTCGGACAATGCCATTTCCTTTGGTTATAGTCTGATCTCTCCAGGCCAGAAGCACGAGGTTGGAATGTGTCCAGTTTCTTTTGCAGTTTTCAGGCAACTGTTTTTAAATTTTCTTTAAAAATCTCCTCTTTAAACCATGGGAAAGAAGAGCCAGTAATATAGAAAAGCTCTTCCAAATATAAATGATATAAAACTGCAGAAATTAAATCAATTTGTCAGGTCTTGACACAGGATACAGATAGATTACAGAATAGAGTAAGAGTCCAAACATCTCCTCCAGTTGTTAATCTCAACCATAAGGGCAACTTTACATAGAAATATAATGTTTGATGAAATTGGTCTTTTAAGTCAATAAGGAAAAATAGATTTTTCAATAGTGTTGAGGAGAGCTTGCTAGCATTTGAAAAAGGGGGTGTGGGGGAGGCTGGATTTCTCTTGCTTTTTCTTTGACTAGATGCATTTCAGACAGAAATAAGATAAAATCAGAAGTATATTTGAAGGCCATGTGGGGAATTTTAAAAATCATCTTCGAGTATGGAAGCTACAAAACATGAAAGACTTTTAAAAAAGGAAGGTGAATTTGAATCCATAAAGCAATCTTGTAATGCATGAAATTTCATTAAGAAAGGCAAAAGACAAAGAGCAAAATATTTTCAAAAACATTTGAAAAAGGGCTAATTCTCTTAATGTTCAATAACCCTGAATGTCAATAAGAGATAAATAACCCAACATAAACAGAGGAAAGGATAAAAATAGCCAGCTCAAGCAAAAGAAATGAATAACTGATGAAGCTAGGAATAATGATCGACTTCACTCATAAATAAGAAATACAAATTTTAAAAAATAAAAGTAAAAAAGGAAAAACAAATATAAAAATTGGGGCACATTTCACTTAATCAAATTGGCAAAAATGGAATGTTTGATAATATCCAGTATTACTGAGATTGTGGAGAAATGAACATTATCCCCAAGTGTTTTGAGGAGTGGAAATCTGCAGAACTCTTTACAGGATAATTTGGCAACAATAGCTGACAAAATTCAAAATGCACATAACTTTTAGACCCAGCAATTCCATAAACAGGAATTCATCCTTTGGATTTATTTACAAAAAGTGCACAAGGAATTATGTATAATAATCATTCTAGATTTCTGGTAAATCCTAAAATTGGGAAGAACCTAAATGTGCACCGATAAGCTTATAAATCCTGGGGAATTACATACAACCAAATATTGAGCATCTGGTAAGAAGAATTAGGTAGATCAATGTGCATAGATTTGGAAAAATATGTTTACTGAATAAAAAGCAAAGTGCAGACAGAATATAGCAAAATTCTGTTTGTGGAAAACAAAAAGGATATGCATTTTACAGTTAGTTTGCCTATAACATTTCTCAAAAAATGTATGAAAGCTGCTTCATGATCCCATCCTAACCTCTGATTCCTCAGCTTCTCTTTGTTTTTCTTACTGGTTTCCAACATTCCTCTGCTTAACTTGGATTCCACAGTCACTCAGTGCAATCTCCCAGCAGAGGCCTCCTTCCCTACTAGTTGGCATTTTTGTAATCATTAATACAAATCCCAATATTGGATTACTCTGTTTTCTGAAGATCTACCCTTAGATTGCACAAGCAAATGTGTGGATTGATTTCTATCACTTGTTTTGTTTACAATCTCACTTGGGTGTTTAGTGTTACTTCACAATCTTTCCATTCACCCTACAATTTTTTTCCTACATCATTCCTCACAACAGATATTCCAAATATTGCTCCATTATTTCAGCTTCAAGCCTATCATTGTCCTTTGCACTCTCAGCAGATAACATCACTGAGAAAAAGAGGCCAAGAATGAACTTTTTACATACCTCTCTAGAATAATTTAAAAATCTATTTCAAGAATCAGCAAACTACAGTCATCGTGTCAGATCTAGCCCCGACTGTGAGTAAAAATGTTTTTACATCTTTGAAGGACTGTGAAAATGAAGAACAGTCAACAGACTGTGTCTCACAAAAACTGGAATAGTTATTACCTGGCCCTTCATAGAAAAAGTTTCCTGAGCCCTGATCTAGATCATCACCCATCTTGGATTCTTTTCTGATTCAGAGGAGCCCCTTTCCCCTCTCCACAGTTGACCTGGAAACCTGCAATCTTATTCAATCTCCTGCCTCTTATGGAATGTCCTCTTTGCTGAGTCTTCTCCATAGTGAGCTGAAGAATATTTTTTATACCACTAGTTATAGTTCATTTTTCTCAGATTGCCTGAGCCAATCAGGCAGTTTCTCTTAGGCCTTAGATATGTTCAAGTCTCAACCCTTTTGGATATGAGTGCATGTTAATGAATGGAAGCTATCCAACACTACTTCCAAGATGGGTGGTTGTTGTAATTTGTAATATGAAAGAATCTGAGGCCCTGTGAGACCAGCTGCACTTAACCCTGCCACATGGTATAAGGTAGGGATCCAATGTTATCTTTTTCCAGATGAGCAATCAGTTGTCTGCTTATTTTATTTCTTTTAAAGATTTTATTTATTTATTTTTAGAGAGAGGGGACGGAAGGGAAGAAGGGAGAGAAACATTGACATGAGAGAGAAACATGGATGGGTTAACTATCACACCCACCTCAAATGTGGATCACTGCAACCTAGGAATGTGCCCTAACCAGAATCTAGTGGGCGACCTTTTGCTTTGCCCCACAACACTCAACGGAGTCACAGAGGTCAGGGTGTTACGAGAGAAACTCCATTCTTCTTGCCAACGCAATACAGTAAAGAATTACAGATCAGTAAGTCCATTAGCTTACAAGCAGGGTTTATTGGTGATAAGTTTTCATAGAAGAGAACGGGCATTGCCCTGACTGGGGAGAAAGACATAGGTTCAGGGCAAAGCAAGGTAAGGGTGATGAAAAGCAAGGGATGCCCAAAAGCTCCAGGTCCTTCGTTCTGAGGTCTTACATACTTGGCAGGATTGATTGATGGGTAGATGTGGTGTCGGCCCTCCCCAGAGGACATGACTACCATACTTAGGTAGATGTGGGGGGGTGTTAGCCTGAATCTTTATCTTGTCCCAGACTCTATTTGTTCACCTTGTAAAACAGATATGTGACAGGGGGCAGTTACTTAAAGTTGGGGTAGTTACCCTAAGTTATTTATGGGCTCCTCCTGCAAGCACTAGGGACTCCCTCCGTTGGCAATTAACCGAAATTGTTTTATAGGCTTCTTTCTCTGGGTCTTGTGGACCACCTGCCCTTCCGGCTTCCAGGTCTTGGGATGAATACATAGTTTCAAAGGCTTTCTTTCCCAAATAGTGGAAAAGATATGTAAAATTTCAGGGGGGGGTCTCTCCTCCCAGTGCTAATAGTGTTTCTTGTGATGTGGGAACACCTGGCAATATTATGGACCCAGGCTCAGGACTGCTGATTAGTTGGTGAGACACATCTCCCTCCTCCTTCCTACCTTGGTTTACTATCTATTCTACTTAAGTACTATAAGGTGTTTCCTAGCAATGAGAAAGACTAGACAGTGGCCCACAACGGGTTCATAGTCTTACCAGTTCTTCCCATGCTATCTCCTGCCTCAAGACAGAAGTTCATTCTTATCTTATTGATATGAAATGTGACTTTTGTTATTTAGTCTCTCTCTCTCTCCAGATTAAATCAATCTTCAAACCTTGCCAATTTTACTTCCCAAATAGGTTTCATATCTAAATATTCCTTGCAATCAATCTCTAGCCTCACTGACAGTCTTCATTTCTGTCGCTCACCTTTCTTCTGGATTGCAATGTTTAGTCTCATTTTACCCCTGACAATCTCATCTCTCCACCTCCTTCTTCTCTTGTTCAGTCTTTCTCGTAGGTTTCTCAGCAGCATCTTTCTAAAATTGGTTCCTTTCGGCCTTTAAACCTTTCCGTGGCTTCCCATTGTTTCCAAGTTTCTTCAGAAATATCTAGTTTAACCTTCTGCTCCAGTACCTCTGATGACGTGGGAATGCCGTTAATTTCCTCCTCTCTCGGTGGGCTTCGCAGACTCCGTTTGCTGGGGACACTCTTACCTCATTTTTTGGTCTGCTCTTGAAATGCGAGCTCAGGTGCTGACTCCTCCAGTAAGACTTCCCTGACTACCCTTCCCGAACTACGGCAATCGAGGCTCTTTTATGGAAACCTATAATATTACGTTCTTTCCTCCGACACTCTCGTCCCCTACGCATACAGGCACCGGGACGCGCGGAATAAACACCTGTTGACCCACTGGACTGTAAAGCCCCTAAAGGGAGGCGCCGTGTCGTCGGGTGTATGTCTTGGAAGTCCTTCCCACAGAGGGAAAGCAGGTGCAAAGGCATGGAGGCGCAAAGGGACCTGGCGACCGAGACCTTCGAGGAATGCAGTTAGTTGGGGATAGAGCCCCTCACGGTCCTACGCGCGCTCCGGAACGGTCTCGGAGGATGAGCGATCACCGAGACGCCCCAACCTCCGAGAGTCCTAGAGAGGAAACGGAAGGGGCCTTTTCCTTACGCACCTGACTGATAGCGGTCGTGGCCCACTTCCGGTCTACGGAAGACACTGGGGAGGCTGGCGCGGGCGCGGGCGTGGGTGCTGGTATTTGGGTGAGAGGCGGATGGGACCGCAAAGCATGGCGGTGGTCGGGGCTCCCGTTTTGGGCTGTGGTGCAGTTGCGAGCCTCGGCGGCGGTGGCGACACTGGCACTGAGGCTGAGGCTGACGCTGCAGGAGGCGCTTCTCTTCGGAGCTGCCTCTGGCTGCACCGAGGCCTGGCGGGCTGGGACCCGGGGCTGGGGGAGGGGGTCGCCCGCGCTTGGCTTAGGTCGGAGCGTTCCCGATCCCGCCCGGCCTGGGTTGGGCTAAGGCTGGGTTCTTGTCCACGAACCCGAGACCTTGAACCAAAGCGAAACTCTGAAAAGTGAACTCGATTGTTGTAGAGCAATCCGTAGCAACTCATTTAATGAATAGTTACGGGACGCTTATTTGTGAGGTATCAGGAATAAAAGACGACTGAGGATATTTCTTGCCTCAGGGAATCTGGTAGGAATCAGAAAGACGTTGGTAGACATTTGTGCTGGGATGAATAACAGCTAGAAAATCATGAAAGAACAATCTCGATACAGGAGAGAAAGTGAATAGACCGAAAATGTAAAATAGATTTAAGAAGATTAGGTAAATACATAAAAACCTAATAGAATACTAAACTTTGGGTTTGCCCCCTGCCATTGTCCATTCTTAGCTGCATATAGAGTAATCTCTCCCCCTAAAAGCCGAGCCCTTTACCCGCTTTGAACTTCTAGATCTGTCTCCCCAGTCTAAGTCACCCTTTTTGCCCCGCATTCTCCAGCCTCTTCTTTCTCATGAGTACTTGAACCTACATTTATCTTTATTTTTTTGGCTTCCCGTATTTCTCATCTAAACCATATATTTTGGGATGTTGACCTTGGCCAGCCATCTGACCTGTTACATCTTCAGTTTTTTTTCATCTGAAAAGTAGGGGAAGTAGTACTTACCATACAGAATTGTTGTAAGTATGTGTGTACATGCTTTCTAAATGGTAAAGCCTATACAAGCTAGAAATGGTGTATATGTTGCTCTGTTGTCTTTAGGTTGAGCACGCACCAAAGCCACTAGCAAATCTATTGGGTTTACCTCCAAAATGTCTTAACTTTGCTTTTTTGCCACTATCCTATCTAAGTCCTATCATCTCCTGCTTGGACCACAGTAAGTGCTGCTTCCCTCTTTTTTCCCATTAATTTATTCTTGTCACACTGCAGGTAAGGTGACTTGTGAAACAGTTCCCCACTAAAACAAGAAAGAAGAGTAAAGTTCCCCACTAAAACAAGAAAGAAGAGTAAAGCCCATAATTCTTACTGTGGCCCAGGCCCTGGATAATTTGGTTTCTTCCTGCCTCTGCTACTAGTACTTGTATAGCTCTGTCCCTAGATCACTCTGCTGAAGCCACACTGCAACACACAGTGATTTCTAGCCTCCAGGCTTTTGCCTGGAATGCTCTTTGAATGACAGGCTCATTCCCATCCTTCAGGTCTCAGCCTAAGTGTTAACTCTTCAGAAAAGTATTCTTGAAGTTGTCCGCTATTAACAGAGAGCTCTCCTTTTTCCTTTGTAGAACTTACCCTCGTTTATAATTTTAATTTATTTGCTTACATTTGTTATTTTCTCTCTGCTGCACTAGTATATTAGTTTCAAAGGATAAGCACCTTGTCTGTTTTGTTCTCTATTGTATTTCTACTTTCTGTGGGCCTGGCATGTATATGTATTGAATGGTTATTTCCTTTAGTTTTAGAAGAGTAGGCCCAGGTGACTGACCTAATTATCACCCATCTTATAGTCTGTGATTGTAGTGTTATCTCCCTAATGGGATCCTGAGGTATTTGTGGTTATAAGCTAAACCTTATATATTTTATATTTATTCTCTGCTCATACTAAATAGTTAGCAAATACGGAATTGAACTGACATGATTCAAAATGTATGTTTAGTCTTGGAAATGTCTCATAGAAGGTAATTGCCGTGTTCTCCAGCAGAATATCCATTGATGTAGAGACAACTGGGATGGACTGATCTGTGTCTCACTGATGGTCGTTGGTCTTCCCAACAGACCCCCAGTCTTCTGGGAAGGAGTGTGAAGATGCTTAAAGAGCGTCCAGGGATGGCAGAAGATCCTCAGCAGCAAATGGGTGTTCCTGTGGTAAAATTGGAGAAAGAGTTGCCATGGGGCAGGGGAAGGGAAGACCCTAGTCCTGAAACTTTTCGGCTGAGGTTTCGGCAGTTTCGCTACCAGGAGGCAGCTGGTCCCCAGGAAGCCCTCAGGGAACTCCAAGAGCTCTGTCGCCAGTGGCTACGGCCTGAGCTGCACACCAAGGAGCAAATACTGGAGCTGCTGGTGCTGGAGCAGTTCCTGACCATCCTGCCCCGGGAGTTCTATGCCTGGATTCGGGAGCATGGCCCGGAGAGTGGCAAGGCCCTGGTGGCCATGGTGGAGGATTTCACAGAGAGAGCACTGGAGGCCAAGGCGGTGGGTGAGAAGGGGGTCTCAGGTCCTGTTTTATTGGTGTGGTGTGGGGAGATTTAAAGAATTGAAAGGTTTGAGGAAACGCGAAGAGGATGGGATATTTAATCTCTGCTTCTATATTCCAGAGGTACTTTTTGGACGGCAATTGAGTTCAGCAAGAAAAGACATTCCCAGGGTTCTCTTTTTGGTCATCAGAAACCTGACCATATGTCCCTTGTGAGCCTCAGGCTCAAAGAAGGCCGTTGTGATAGATTTCAAGGTCCCTCCTAGACCTATTCCTCTTTGGGCAGAGCTGCATGTGAGAATGCAGGGAAGTCCGTCCATTTGGTGAATATCCTCATTAAGAAGAGTTGTCTGTAATGGTGCTGTTTCCACTTCTAGGGTGTCGGCTGACATGGCTCACATAGTGATTCTGTGGTGGTATTCTAGTGATGCCAAGTAGCTGTACTGCTGATGCTTCCTTGGGACTCTGGCCAAGTCTCTGTCACTCTCTGATATATAGTCACATGATCATTGGCTGGGAAAGATGAGTGCAACTTTTTCTCATTGGCTAAGTTATTGTAGAGTCTAGGCTTTGTGGGTTTTTTTTTTTTTTTTTTTTTAAGGTTTTATTTATTTTTAGACAGAGGAGAAGGGAGGGAGAAAGAGAGGGAGAGAAACATCAATGTGCGGTTGCCTCTCACACGCCCCCTGCTGGGGACCTGGCCTGCAACCCAGGCATGTGCCCTGACTGGGAATCGATTCAGTGACCCTTTGGTTTGCAGGCTAGTGTTGAATCCACTGAGCCACACCAGCCAGGGCTAGGCTTTGTATTTTTTATTTTCAGCGTCTTTAACTGGGCAATTTTTTTTTCTAGTAGTGAGACAATATTTAGGCTCTTTGTGATGTTATTCATGGTGGAATTTGATCTGTATTTGAGGCAGACAGAAGGGACCCTTGTAGAATGGTATGGACAGATAGAAGTTGCTCACAGCCTGAGAAAGGGAGTTTAACTTCTTTTTCACCTTCTCACTGATGTTCTGGCGAAGAGCTGAGCCAGTTTGTCCTTCCTGGCTCCTGCAGCTGGAATGGTTCTTTTCTTGGTTCTCTTTTTTGGTTTTAATTCAACTCCCTTCATAACCAGGCCTCATTTGAAATAGGTTTTTGGGCCTGTTCTTAGGTTCCATGCCACGTGCAGGGAGAGCAGGAGACAGCAGTTTGCGGAAGCCCTTGGGAACCTGGTATCCACCTGGGACCAGTGGAGGTCAAGCCTGAGTGGGGGATGCACCGAGGGGAAGGAGTTCAAGGCCTAGACCAAGGCACTGAGGAACAGCTCAATCAGGACCCTGGTGCTGGGACAGAGGCCTTCCAGGAGCAGGGTAAGATGCAAAGAGTAGGAAGTAAAGTCACAGGAACGCTTTGACAAAGGTCAAAGGTGACGCTTTGTGCCCTCTTCCCTCCCTCTTTCCTTTACAAACCCAGCAATTGATAAACTAAGGTACCTGCAAGGTGTACGGGGACGGGGTTGGGGCCACTCCCCCCAGGAATTTATTTATTAAAAATTGTTTGTGTATTCTTACATGTTTAAGCTTTAGTCACCTTCAAAGTACTCTCCATTTGATGCAGTACACCTATTGAGACTTTTTTCCCACTGTTCAAAGCAATTTTTGAACTCGATTTTGATGGCTTTTAATGTGTCTGCCATTTTTTGTTTCACCTCTTCTACACTGGCAAAATGTTATCTTTAACAACTTTTTTCTTCCAGGGAAACAGTCACTTGGGGTGAGGCTGGGTGAAAAGGGAGGGTGGGACATGGGGATCATGCCATTTTTGGTCAAAAAACTACTGAACACACAGCGTGGTATTGTCTGGTGCTCTTATGAATCACCCATCATGAAATGGGCAAGCACTTGAAAGAGCTTTCAAAAAAAAAATTCACTGAAGCTGAACACAGCTTCTCACAGCAATGCCAGTTGCTACACTGATAGAGGTGGGTTCCTAGAATGCTCACCCAGCTGGGGAAATCTGTACAAGGGGCCCACCCTCCAGAAGATAATTCTAGGTGTTTTGGGTTCTGCCTCATAATTCTGAGTTTTTCTGGCTGTTTCCTTGACTTCAGTAGGAAACGATGAAGTGAAATTATTTTCTATACCTTGACTCTTTGATTTCTGCAGGGTATATCTGGTATCATGCTCTCTTGTCACTTGTCCCCTTTCCCTCACATCCCTTCTTGAAACCATTAGGAAATAGGCTGCTGACATGTACAGATATTTTTAAGTAGACTGACTAACCATATCCCTAAAAGTAATGTGTGACTTTACTGTGTTTCTGAATCTCAAAGGGAATTATTTCCAGAGTAGGGAGCATGTATAGCTCTTCAGGGACAGGGCTTATTGGGTTGGGACCATCTTCCCAGCTGAGAACAGGGTAGGATACACCCAAATCCCTGTCTGTCTGGAGTCTTCTTTTGGTTCCTGGGTTTTTGTGTTAGGCATTAGGCATCTTTGAACGAGGTAACTGTAAGAAAGCACTGATTCTGCTCATGCTTTTTCCCCCCTGCTTAGCTCTGCCAATTCTTCAGACTGGTCCTGGCTTCCCCCCCGTGAACACCAGAGACCAAGAAATGGCAGTTGGGTTCCTTACGACTGGGTCCCAGGTGAGCTGTGCCTCTGCCCTTTTGGTGATCATGACATTGCTTTGAATGAGGTTCATTTTCCCCAAGATTTCTATGCACAACAGAGCTCCATCCACAAAGTTGAATTATTCTACTCCTTGTTCTGATGGGCTTTGTTCTCCCCATTTCACTATCCTCAGTCGTTAATTTGAATTGAGCCTATGCCTTAGAGTCACTTGTTTGTATTACTCTTTGGAGGTTTTTTTGTTTGTTTTTTGTTTTTTTGTTTTTGATTGACCCAGTGTTACTATTTTAATAGTGAGGAAGAGGATATTGTTGATAGAAACGTTGTTCTGATACAGGCTGTGGTGGTTAGCCAGGAGATCAGTAACCCTTTGTGGCTGGCCTTTATGGATACCTCTGCTGCTGCTCCTCTTCTGGACCTCCCCTTCCCCCATGTTAGCAGGAATGTAGCTGACGTAGGGTTGGGGGCGCTCTGGAGTGCTGAACAGAGTGGTCTGTCTGGCCCTTACTCTGGCCACACCAGGAGTTTTGGCCTTGTTTACACTTCTTATCCTGCCACAGTCTGGGGTAACTAGAGTAAAGGTGGGCACTCTTGCTACACTGTAAGTCTGTTCCTTGAGATTATCAGGAAGGTGAGGAATTTCCAGTGTGGTACCTTTCCAAAAGGGATGAGTCTTAAAGTGAAAAGTTCATTGTAGAAAGTTCATGGCAGAAAAAAAGAAGTGAGTCTGATCTAGCTAAAGCAGTATTGAACAAGGTTTGATGCTGGCAACATTTCCTATTTCTGTTTTCTGTGGAGGGGGTTTGGAGAAAATGCGGAAGGACGGCAGCATGTTTTAATTTGGTCAGACCCTCCTCTATCATAATAGTTCATGGTGTCGTGAATGACAGTGCATTTATTTTAACAGGCATTGTTAAGGCAAGGCTTGCCCAAATGTTGACTTATCTCTGACAGAAAATCAGCTTGAGATGAGAGGTAAATAGCAGCTTTCAGGTTCAGTCAAGCTTAAGGATTGAATGGAGGTGATTGGAAAGTGGAAATGGATGCTGTGTTTATTAGGTACAGGCTAAGTATCTGCAGCAGAGACTGAAAAATCAAGTGGCTCAAACCAGTTCGTTATTCTTTGTCATTAAACTGTCGAGAGGCAGGCACTTCTGCTCCCTAGGCCAGCTACATACCCCAGTTCCTTTCATCTTCTCGCATTGTTATTCTCTAGAGTGTTGTCTCCTCTGGTCACTTTACTTTTAGATTGCTCCTACTTTGGGATTATTTCTTCACCCATAGTGGTCTCCTGTTGTTTCAGGGGTTGGGACCATTTAAAGATATGGCTCTAGCCTTCCCAGAGGAGGAGTGGAGGCATGTGACCCCAACCCAGATAGACTGCTTTGGGGAATATGTGGAACCACAAGCCTGTGGAATCTCACCTCCAGGTAAGACTGTTTTCAGGTAAGAAACTGAGGCATTTCGGAAGCTACAACTTTGTCCCAGATTTCAGAACCTGGTGCTATTAACAATGGAAGGGGATTTCATGGCAGACGAATAAATCGGACCAAAGAGTAAGGGCCAAAGGTATGAAAACTGGCCAGGCGCATTCCTGTTTAGGAGAAGGTGAGGCAAGAAAAAACGAGGCAGTTATTCTGGCTGTGATGAGACAGGTTGGTCATTAGGATTCTGAAGCACCTAACCTTGTACATGATTGAAGGATACTGAGGGCGTGAGAGCGAGAGAAAAGCAGCAAAAGATGGATCCTATGATCTCATTCATTCAGTACATATTTACTGAATGTCCTCCCCATGTAGGCCCCACCTTCGCTTTGTGATGGGGAGGACTGACATACATGAAACCTTTGGACTATATAGAGTGTCTAGAGGAGAGCATGAGAATGCATAGTAGGGTTTTAGAGACAGGAAGGGTCGGTGTGGGCTTGTGTCATAGAGCAAGCAGAGCCCTGGTTTGGCCTATCTCACATGATGGCTGGGTTTTACCTGAAGCAAGAGCTGGGAGGACTTAGCCATCATGCACATGAAAAGAGGTCATAGCAGGAGAAACGAGGAGGGAACATTATCAGGGTGAAAAATCCTGCTGGGAAAGCCAACAGAGGGCACTGCAGGGGCTTGAGAATTTCCAGAGCGAAGAATAGTGTAGAAAGTGTCTGCGGGCTGAATGGGGAGCACAGGGAAGACAGGAAAAGAAACAACGTTGGCCCTCTCCTTTGTTTTCTCTAATTCTTTTTTTTTCCCCCTTTAATAACTGCTTTGTAAGTTATGTACTGACCATTCATATGTCTTGACCTTGCCTGGCCTTTTTTCATCTTGACATATGTTGAAGGATAAGTAAGAGTATTATTGTACTTTCTTCAGGACATGAGAGAACCCATGCTGGCTTCGCCACTTACTGTGAGCTTGGGCATCTCACTTGACCTTTTCAGGCCTCAGTTTTCTCAGTTTTAAAATGGGGATATTCATAGAACACTATCTCTTGGCGTTGTAAGGATTTAATGAGATAATAAATCTAAACCTTTGAGAACCATGGTAGTGTTAGGTATTTCTGTTAGTTGTATAAGTATTGTGAAGTGATTCCTTTATGAGTCAGTGAGCATTCATTCATTTATTCACCCAAAAATAGTTATTTGGCATTTACTGTGTGGCTAACATTCTAGTAGTCACTATGAAGGGTTAAAAATAAAGGTGTTTGCCTCCATGATTTTAACATCAGAAGATGACCCCAGGTGCCTGTAATAATGCTCATTATGGAGTAGCATAAGGAAGACTGGAGGAAGGGGCTCAGGAGACCTGGGTCCAGTACAAGGTTTTCACCCATGAGAAAGAGATGTAAGATTACACGATGGCAGAGGATGTGGAACCCCTAAGTGGTAACTGCACAGGGCAGGGTCTTGTGCAGCGTTCCCCAAATAGAGGTCCCATCATTCCAGCGTCTTAATCCCCGTCAATGATATACCTCTGCCAGTGATGCTACTATGTGGGAAAGGATTCTGCCCTCTTGTTCCCAGGGCTTTTTACACCATCCTGGCCTTTTTTGACTACTCTAGAGACTCTGGCTGTATGTTTGTCCTCTTAGCCACTCGTTTCAGAATAACCCAACCACTTTCCTAAGCGCTTATGTTGAGGCTAGGTGAGGTGAAGGTCTGTTTCTTAGGCATGCCACCTGCTAGCCGCCTCAACCTTCAGGTCTTCTTGAGATTCATTCTCCAGTAGTTGTAGCTCTGACATTGACCGCTGTGTAGAATACAGCCTGAGAAAATAAACGTTAGTTGTGTAGTATGTAATATGTAGCACATATTTGCATTTCCTCAGGGTCTAGTTACGGTTCACGCTTTGCATTCAAATTTAATTTTACTATTCATAACACCTCAAAACTGGAAACTACCCAAATGAACATCAGTGATAATACTAAATAGGTTGGAATATATTCTTATACTGTAATACCATACACCAATGAAAAAGAATGTAGTGTAACTATAGCTACACACCGTGATATGTGTGAATCTCACAAGCATAATAATATTGAGCAGAAGCCAGAAATAATGTGAATCATATAAAGTTCAAGAACAAGCACATGTGCTTTCTGTTGATAAAAGTCTGGATAGCATGTTATCCAGAGGGTAGGATATAGTCAATGGAGGAGATGGGAGAGGAAGTTCTGGGTGCTGGTAATGCTTCTGGAACTGGTTGCTGTTTATAGGGTTGTGTTCATTATGAAAATTCTTTGAACTCTACATTTATTTTTGTACACTTTCATGGACAGGTCATGAAACAAGAGTATGTCAGAGTTGATAGCTATGTCCTTCATATTTTTATCAAATCATGAAGCATGTAATGTCTCTTTTTATCTTTTAATAATCTTTTCTGAAAAGACTTTTTGTTTAAGCACCACTTGACATTTCTTTCTTGGCTTCTTTGCTTCCTATTACCTTTTATCATCTTTTCTCTCTTCCCTTTCCTCTTGTTCTTCTATAAACAATTGTGTTAATTTAGAGAGCGTATAAGAGGGATCAGAGGAAGGACTTCTAGAAGGGGCAAGGCATTTCAGTAGCATTCACAGGCAGTTTGGTCTTAATAAAAATGCTACAGTAAGGATGGTCTGGTGTAAGGATTTCAGTGACAAACTGGGTTCATTTGTTCATTCAGCAGTCATTAAGCATCTTTCTTGAGTCAGGCACTGTGCTGGGCTCCCAGGAGACCCCGATTAATAAAACAAGGCTAGGTGGAGAGAACAGTGTGAGTAGGGACAGTGACTTGAGCAGGTAGAATGTATGATATGGAGAAGTGCAAGTAGCTCACCATTGCTGGAATAGGTTTATCACTGAGGAAGGCAAAATGTTTGGATGGATGAAAAGTAGGATTTACAGCAAGGTCATATATAAATATGTAAAGAATAAGTAAAATGCTAATTGAATACATTTGTGCTGAAGAGACCCATGGTAAGAGAATAACCAGGGTGTGTTTCTAAGAAATCATTGAGTTAGATTTTGAAGGAAAGAAAAGGGTCTTAATTAGGAAGTTAAGTGGGAAAACATTAAAATTTGGTAGACTATTCTGTAAAAAGGCATGGAATTGTCTTAGCTTGGGCTTCCACAACAGAATACTAAAGACTGGGTGATTTAAACAACAGATGTTTATTTTTCACTGTCCGGGAGGCTGGAAAGTCCAAGATCAAGGAGCCAGCAGATTCAATGTCTGATGAGGGCCCTCTTCCTGGTTTGCAGGCAGCTTCGTGATTTGTCCTCATATGATAGGCAGGCAGAGGGGCCAGGGGAGAAAGAGAGAGATCTCTGTCTCTATTTATAAGACTACTAATCCCATTATGAGGGATCATGGCCACATGACCTCTTTGTATTTGTTCCCCATTTCCTGGTTTCTCCCCATCTTATAATAGCATCACATTGGGGCTTAGGGCTTCAACCTCTGATTTGGGGGTGGGGCACAGACATTCAGTCCATGACTGAGATGGAAAGAAGTAAAGTTTGGCTTTAGGGTCAAGGAAAGTAATATGTATTAAGGTTGTTGGTCAAAGGAAAAAAAAAGGAATTAATTCTAACGTAAATTTACTTTCCTAGTTGTTACAGAATCATTGTGTCTCTTTTGTCCTGTAGGTATTAGGAGCAAGGAAAAGGAGGCCAAAATCCAGCAGGCGGACCTCAAAGGGGCACTTGCTCAGGGCACGTCAGAGAGGTTTGGGGAAGCTGCTCTCCAGAGCCCTGAGCTTGGAGGAACCAGTGAGCAGGAGCCCGGTAACTCTGTGGGAAACATGCCAGGGCCGCCTCCTCCCCAGCATGGCATCCTACCCATGCCCGATGACCTTAAGACTCATAGCTCCTTCTGGAAGCCTTTTCAGTGCCCCGAGTGTGGTAAAGGTTTCAGTCGGAGCTCAAATCTTGTCAGACACCAGCGAACCCATGAAGAAGAAAAATCCTATGGCTGCGTTGAGTGTGGGAAAGGGTTTACTCTGAGAGAATACCTCATGAAGCACCAGAGAACCCACCTGGGAAAGAGACCCTATGTGTGTAGTGAGTGCTGGAAAACGTTCAGTCAGAGACACCACCTGGAGGTCCACCAGCGGAGTCACACAGGGGAGAAGCCCTATAAGTGTGGAGACTGCTGGAAAAGCTTCAGCCGGAGACAGCATCTTCAGGTGCATCGGAGAACTCACACTGGGGAAAAGCCCTACACCTGTGAGTGCGGCAAGAGCTTTAGCAGGAATGCTAACCTGGCTGTTCACCGGCGAGCCCACACAGGGGAGAAGCCGTATGGGTGCCAGGTGTGTGGGAAACGTTTCAGTAAAGGGGAGCGGCTGGTCAGACACGAGAGGATCCACACTGGGGAGAAGCCGTACCACTGCCCTGCTTGTGGGAGGAGCTTCAACCAGAGGTCCATTCTCAATCGGCACCAGAAGACTCAGCATCGCCAGGCGATCCCTGTGCAGTAAGGGTGCCCTGTAGAAATGTATTACACTTGCTAATGGAAAGTGCTGGACAAGGTGGGACCTTCCGAGACCAAGTGAAGGGAGACCTCCGCAGAGGATGTAATTCATTTTACTCACTGAAGGACTTAGGAAGGGGTGTTGAGGAGTTATGGATTGCAGAAGGACACCTTGACCCATTTGCTTTCCACTCGTTCAAAAGGAAAAAGGGCAAGGCCTGGTTCATTTTGAGTTTCCAGATACTGCAGCCTCTCCCACCTCTTACCTAGGTAGTGCTAACAGTTTTTCTTACCATCTTTTGGGGGATATCCTGAGTTTTAGTTCATGTTGAGGTTTTTCTCCTTCAGTTGGATGTTCGTATCCACCTCCTGAGCAAGTCTCGTAGTCAAGGCAAAATTTGTCCAATGTTGGCAGCTTGAACCTAATTTTTCTGAGGTCTGTATCTTGCCTGCCAGGACTCTGTCTCCCTCCCTCCTGTTCTCTTTTCGATGTGATAAATATTTATTGAACACATACTATATGCCACGCACTGGGAGTAGAGTGGTTAATGAGACAGATGAGACCTTGTTCTCCTGGAGTTTGTGATTTAGCACTGAAAGCACCCACACAAAACAATTAATTATCGTGTTCATTTGTGGTGAGTGGTGTGTGAGAAGGTAATTCTTATGCTCATTCTGCCCTGTCTGCTTGGGTGCTGGATCTTTCCTTCCATAGTTGGGATCACTCAGGCAGCCTCATTTATTTTACTTTATTTGTAGTCCCTTTTGTAACATTCTACCTTCATCTGTAAAGTTTCCCCATTCCATTCCTTATAGCAACTGTCGACCTACCTATTAGGAAATTAATATTTTGCTATTGATCACTGAATAAAGATGTAAGTATTTTAAAAAAATGTTCAGTTCTGTATAAAGATCTAATTAAGTCTGAAAGATGAACTAGTATTAATACTCTATATTCGATGGCACTTTACAGTATATAAAATGCTTTTCTTTGTGTTCTCACTTGATTAATTCCACATATATCTATTGATGTCCAGCAGTGTGCCAGGAACTCTTTTTAGGTGCTCAAGATCTATCAGTGGATAAAATGGGAAAATCCCTGACCTTGTGAAGCTTATGTTTCAGTGAGTGTAGTTGATCTTTAGAACTACCCAAAGTGGAACTCGTGGATGTTCCCATGAACCTTCTGGACCTGGGATCTGCGCCTTTGTCTTGGTCCTGTCAGCTCCTTTCCCTGAAATGCATTTGCCACCTACCTCTTGTTACTGAGTAATCTCTGTCCTCAGTGCATCTAGATCCTTGTCATCTGAGGTTCTTGGGGTCCTGAGTGCCAACTGGAGATGATGAGATAGTAGCAATCTGTTTTGCATGAGAGTGCCAATTTAGGAAAAATAAAGATGTTTATAGGCATTTTAAAAAATGCATTTCTGTCAAAATGAGAAGGAGCTGTATTTTTAACTGTTTAAGGTTTCTCTTATTATTTTGCCATCACTAAAGGCTTTCCTTCCTGTTTGAAATTCCATAGACTGCATAATTTGCATGGACTGCACTGCAGTATTGTAATTCTGTGCCTCTGAATGCTGGCTGCTGAGTAAGTTAGTCTTTTGATGTGATTTGTCTCATGATGCCTCTTAATACTCTTACTGAGATTTCCGCCCCCCCCCCCCCCATTTTCTATTGTAAAAAAAGATAAATGGTAATGACTTCAACACAGGGTTGTGTTAGTCCATTTTGAAATATTATTTTATCCATTTATAGACAGATAGCCATGGTGTTTAATTCTGATTTAGCAAATGACCTCTGGCCCCTCAGCTGTCCCCACGGGGCTGCACGAACGAGGATGTATCGGAGACATCTGCTGTCTGAGATGCTGAATTTCTCAGCAACATCGAGGTCCAGATGCAGAATCAGCTTGTTTTTTTCCTAGTTCTCAGTTCAAGCCAGGTAAAGCCTAATGCTGCCAGCCAAACCCAATGGAAGGCTTTTCTAAACCTCAGGCTTCTGGTTGTAGCACATGGGGACTGACCTGGCCTGAGTTTGGCCTTTTCTGGGACGTCCATATTCCAAAGCTGGATGGGAGCATGGGGCCAACAGGGGCTGGGAGTTGCTCATCAGCGGTCTTTCTGTTCACCTGAATTGTAGATTCTCTCTGATCATACACTCAGCCAGACAGGTCTCTGGGTTTTCAGCCATTTGGAATCTCTTGAGATAAGCTTCAGTAGAAGTCAGGTCTTGCTCTCCTTCCCACTTGGGCTCACCTGTGTGCTTAGAGGCCAAAGCTTATAGACAGTGCCTCAAAGGTGAATTTTTCCCATGAAATTGTAGTAGCCTTATTTTTATATCCAAGTGTGAAATATTTTGTTTTCTGTATTTTTTTATTTAGAGATTTTTCATAATAGAAAATTTTAAACATATATAAGTGAATCCTCATGTAGTTATCATCCTGCTTTAACCATTATAAACTCATAGTCAATATTGCTTTATCTCTACCCCCTCCCAGTCTTCCTCCCCCACTGAAGTACTTTGAAGCAAATCTCAAATGTTTATAAATATTTTAGTGTTTACCTCTAAAGGGAAGGACTCTAAAAGAATAACCACAATACTATTTATCATACCTAAAAGTTAACAATTCCTTCATTCCTGATTATTGTTTTTTAAAAACCCATGTACTTTTTAAGAAGCTTTGAGTTAACATCCAAGATCCATAATTGTGATTTGTTGCTTTCTAATAATCTATACCTTCTTTTTTTTTCCTCTTGAAATTCATTCACTGAAACAACTGGGTTTATCCTGTAGAGCTTCTTACATTCTTAATTTTGTTGTTTGCATACCCATGGCATTATTTAATATAGTTCTCTAACATCTGTATCAACTAAAAACTTACAAGGTCTAGTGGTATAACCAGATTTCTACTTCACATTTTGTCAGGAACATATGGATGGTGACATGTCTGGTTGTTCCTTGTTATATAACATCAGGAGCCTAGATCCACTTACTTCATTAATTCTATAAATGATTCTGTGAGAAACTTCCCTTCATTAACTTAGGTTACTCTTAGATTTGGTTCATAGAAGAAAGGAAAAACTTGAATCTTTCTTCCCTTTACCCGTTTTCACAATAACGATCTGACTGCTTTGCTTCCTGTGAAAGTGATCTATCACTTCTTAAAAAACAAAATGAATTTATGGATTTAAATTGATTCCCTGCAGTTATTCTTTTTGATCTTGAAGTCATTTTGTCAGAGGTGGGCATAGGTAACCAGGTTCTTGGTGATCGCAGACAAAAAAATTGAACCGAACACACAGGATTTATAGCAGAAAGCGAGAGAAAGCAGATGTATTAAGCCACATAGAACATGGGAGCAGGCCAACTCTGAGCAGAGCAGAACAGAGCTTAACAGCCTCAGCAGCTATAGTGGCAACAGCTCCAGCCATTACTAAGCTCATTTCTTTTCTCCCAGGAGACAGACTTCCAGGACCCTGGGTTATGTTTATAACAGTAAGGTCTTGGCGTGCCAGGTCCCCTAAGGTACAGTCACCTCCATGTTTAGAGTTGCTGAGATGTGTGTAAGCAATAGTTTTTCGGGGTTCTGAATGATCTGTTAGCCAGTTACTGGGAGTCCCACATAGCCAGACAAGACCCGGGGGTGCTGCTATGACTGTGGCATTGGCAGAGTTGTATTTGTTAAGGGGGAAAGGCAATCCTTAAGGGGGCCTGAATTAGATCCCTGATCTTCCCCTCCTGCAGGAGGTGGTAGGAATTTTGCTAATACCCCTTGAACGGGTTGGTTCAATCTCCAACTAACACATTTTGAAGTATTGGTATCTGCATTATGAGTTTTGTCAAAGCAGCACTGGATACTATTAGGAATGCAGTTAGAATCATAATTTGGGTAGCATACTATATGCGACCAATTCAAATGTTTAAAAATTTCTCCCTCAGAAAGAATTTGGAACTTGAAAGAGAGGCCAGGGCTTCAAATGGGTTAATGGCCCTGGTATGAGTATTATTATAACATGGGGGTGCATCCTATAGTACTGTCACATTTAAGAGAGGTACTAGAGTAATTAAATGGCTTTAATTCTTGTGGGGTCATATGGAAGCACAAAGGAGAATTGCACTTCCATATGACTCTTAAAAAGAGAAATGTATAATTAGCAGAAGAATTCAAAGCATTGATTAGGATTCATTAGCTATTGGGTAGGCTTTTATATGAGCATTATATCTGGAAGGAGTTTCTGGGTTAGGATGACATATCCAACATTGGGCCAGATTTTCTTCTGCTAAGGCACGAGAAGCGTTTACTAAATTTTCATCCCATTCCCCAATACAAGGTGTAGGTGAGTAGAGAAGTGTCAATAGAAACAACAAAAGGTTTTCATTTTGGACAATTATAGATATGATTCCACCCAAAAGGAAATAATTAAACCTTCATGCAGAAGACCAGTACTAATAGAAAGGTCCCAAGAAAGGTAACTGTTCAGAATAATGATGATTTCAGTATATTGTCATCAAACATTACTTATCTTTTCGGCCTTCTCCTTTTGAACAGGAACCTGAGGTCCTCCAGTGGCTCGCAGGTGTAGTCTGGGCTCTGGGTCTCCAGCCGTTTCTGAGTCAATTCGGGATCAGGGGGAGCCAGCTTTACACTGGAAATATGAACCCAACTATCAAACCCTAAAAATGTTACAGCCATAGGGGTACTTGGCACTACCTGGTAGGGCCCTTTCCATTTAGGGTTGAGTTGGTCTGTGGGTGATCCCTCCTTACAGGTTTTAAGGAGTACCCAGTCCCCCGGAGATATGATAACTTGAAAATTCTCTTTTGGGGCTGGTAAAATTTTATTTCCATATTCCTGTAAAGCTTTCTGTACTTGCCCTAAGTTTATTATATACTTAATTGCTTGATGAATCTCTGTATCAAACATTAGCTCTAGAGTTAAAAAGGGTCAGCCATACAGCATTTCAAATGGGCTGCGTTTAATGTTGGCCTCAGGGGAGCCCCTAATCCTCATGAGGGCTATAGGTAGTAACTTAGCCCAGTCCTCAGAAGTCTCCTGACAAAGTTTTGTTAATGTTCTTTTTAAAGTTTGATTTGCCTGTTCTACCTTTTCAGAAGACAGTGGTCTCCACGTGGAGTGGAGATAATATTTTATGCCTAGAACTTCAGAGGCTGCCCGAGTGACCCTAGAAGTGAAGGATGGCCCATTACTGCTTTGTAGGGATCATGGAAGACCAAACCGGAGTATTATATCCTTTAGGAGAGCTTTTGCTACTTCTGTGGCCTTTTCTGTCTTTGTTGGAAAAGCCTCAGTCCATCCAGTAAAGGTATCTATCAGGGCTAAGTAAGTATTTGTATCCTCTAAAAGGAGGCATTTTGGTAAAATCAATCTGCCAGTCCTTTCCAGGATAGGTCCATCTTCGCAGAATAGGTTCTATCAGCGAGGGCAGGGATGGCTTTTGCCCAGAGTTGTTGTAGGCACAAAGAGTACAAGCCTGGCACATATTCTTTATGGTAGTTGCTATTCCCCTGCCTACAAATTATTAACCATTGTCATTGTAGCACCCCTTCCAATATGGAAGGAGTCATGCAAAACCTTTAAGAATTTCCACTGGGAGGCATGGGGAAGGAAGAGCCTCTGGCCAACATATGTCCAGGGTCCTTCATGGACACCTCCTTGCTCCAAAGCCCAAGATATTTCCTCAGATGTATAATTGGGCTTGCTATCTGAGCCATTTACAGAGGGGAATAAAGCCATTTGTCAGTCCCTAGTGCTGCTTTCTTTGCTTCTCGATCTGCTCTCCTATTTCCCTGAGAGATT